GCCAAAAATTATTACTTGACATGAATTCCATAATTAAAATCAGGTAATCCTTTATCACATCTTGCTGTGCAACAAAAAAACCTGTTCTCAAAGACAGTCTTTGAAATTAAGTAAGAGCATGAAAAATACAAGATGAAGCGCTAAGAAAGCAAATCTTAAAAGGGTTTCTAGCAAGAGTAAAACCACCATCCACAAGCTGTAGCACAGCAAACAACGTATTTCAAACAAAGAACAAAAACAAGAAAATTGTTGCAAATGCAGATAATGCAATATTTAAAAAGCAAAACTACCTGAGGAGCTACCAGAGACAACATACATATGCAGCATTTCAGAAACAACTAGTTCTGCAGTTGTGGTTCTGTGGTCAAAGCATTTCCTTGGTGTGTACACAGGGTGTGCAGCTGCCCCCAGCTGCAAGGACACCCTCCCCTCCCTCGTGCCCACCGTGATGGCATCACTCCAACCACAAGAATGGGGCTGGAGTGGCTGGGGAGGTCACCAAAACACTGCAGTGCATTGTGCACATCTCCATTTCCCCAGAATATGACATTTTTTTAAACTTGAATTAGTGCCTGGGGTTTCTGGCTATCGGACTGGACAGCCACATCCCTTAGAAATTGGATCTGATTCTCCATTTTCTGGTTGCTGAGACACCCCCACTACCCAAACACCAAAGGGAACTCGTGTACTCACAATATGGAAAGATTAATGCACGTGTAAAATTCTGCAGGATCAGCACCTTGGTGTGTGGTCAGAGTATTGGACTATTTATTTTTGTCAAGTTTATTGAGCACCTAGAAAAATCCCATTATAAATAAAGCAGCATACTCTTAATAAAACTTGACATGCATGGTAAGTTTTCAATTTATAATGGGGCTTATATATGTAATGTTTTTATTTTAACTTTGTGTTTTAATTTGATTTCCTACGTCCATATATTTACTTCCCTTGAATTTATTCTCAAGCTAAAAAAGCTCCTCCGTTTATTTCCAAAATGCTAAAAGAACTGCAGGTTTAAAAACTTGTTTTTATGCTTAGAAACCTCATACTGAAAGAACTCATTTACACTGAAAAACACCAACTTCAGGCTCCATTAATTATGCTACTGCAAAAATTCTAAATGGTCACAGCAGCCATAAGCAAATATCCCATGAAACACTCCCAGACAAGCATCATTTTCCAATCTATTGAGCTCACAGTTCAAAAAGCTCAAGTGCTATTATCAGGTTATGCTCAAGCAACACTTGCAGGTTTAGTCAATAGAACTTTTGTATTTAGGAGCATCTGAAGACCTGACTCATAGCTACTTAAAATTCAGGTTAGCAAGTTAAACTTTCAACTGCTACAGCTCCTTCTGTTCTGGGGGACAAAATAAATAAATAACTAAACAAATGCTTATTTTAGTTACTGAAGTGTCTAACTTATTACTGCCAATTATTTTTAAAACAGAGTCAATTTTGAAGAAAACAAAGAACAAGTTAATAATTCATCATTAACCTGATCCTGTAAACACCTGATTACACCACAAATTTGAAGAAATTACTGTCTTCAACAGGAAAAAAATACTGCACTTAATGGTTCCTGCTCTATCTTACACTTTTGTTGGTATCAAGAGTTTTTAAAACCTAGTGCATATCCTCCTGGTAGTTTTGAGTTCTTCTCTTTCTTATAGAAAAATACCCAGATATTTACCTACAGATTTCCAGCTCCCACCAGCACAGCTAAAAAAACATCACAAGCTATAAAAAGAGTTTCTAACAAATCCTTAATTTGATTTGAAGCACTTATTTTTGATGTAAGTACTTCCATCATTTCATCTTGATTTATATTTGTAACGTCTGCTGTAGTGTGGCACTTATTAATTAAACTGATTAAGCATCTTCAGCTGTACCATAGGCCCTCCACTCTTTGATCCACTTTGCTCCTAACTGTCATTAACCTCTAGGAAATGTCCTCTTTGTTGGTTATTACTGTTTAATTATACTGTATAGTTATGTCATTACATCTGTGAAACACAGCCTCCCATAACAACACAGCTGTGGAATATGATACTCCTGCCCAGCAGTACAATCCTGGTTACAGCAGAGAATCCACACACACCACGTTGATGGAGGAAGTGACACAAAGCTTTTCAAAAGCCCTTGATTTTGAGTAGGGCTGTTGAGACAGGAGGTAAGTACAGGCTTCAAGAGAGGTCTCAAACTCCCCCTCTTTCCTCCTTTCCAACCCCTCCTGACAAGATCCTCCATACATTTCAGGAATTACTTCTAAACTTAGAAAACTTAGAAAAGAGAAGTTCTACACAGAAATAGTAAAGTGAGAAGGAACCTCAGAAAACAGAATTTATGAGCTCATCATCTATTTTTTGACGAATAGTATGAACTACAACTGAAAGACACTTTTTCCTGGAACCCTCTGCTTCCATTCATGATCTCATGATGCACAAGCATTTCCTCTGCTTGTAAAGTAACAGCAGCAGTGACTGCAGTGGTCCAAAGAAAACAGCACTTTGCACATTTCTGCCATTCTTTACAGGTGTGGGGGGAATAGGGAGGACAGCCACTCAAACAAGTGGTTTTTAGAATATTGCCAGTAAGAGCTCCCCACATCACAAGGACCTCCCTCTAAAACATTGGATGGAATGGTCACTAAATCCTGAAATTGAATATAAACTGTACATTCTGCTGGTACACGGAAAAGGTGTGGCTGTATCAAACACAGCAGGAGTGTTACCATAATATGCAGAAAACATTGTGTAAAATCTGTGTACTTACAACCTGTCCTCACTTTGTCCTCCTTCTGACAACATTAGCTGGCAGTAAGCACACAGGCTTCTCTACAGAAAAGAAATGGCACTTTATGTTTACTGGGGAGAGATTTTTTTTTGTGTGTGTGTGTGTGTGTGTGTGTGTGTGTGTGTGTGGAGAGGGTGACTGGGAGAGAATTGCCTGATTTTTCAAGAGTGGAGATAATGAGATAACAGCGGACAGTTTCAAGCCTCAATCAAGACTCTGTACGCCAAGCTTCAACAAGATTTTCTTTTTCCTGGTCTGAGTTACAAACCCTTGACTGGCCAGTAAGGAGTTGTTTACCTGACAGAAGCAAGGGGGCAAATTCCTTTAGATCGATGCAAAACATTTTCCTACTCTGGAAGTCAGAAAGGGAGGAGCACCAAGTTTATTTATGTAGCTCAACCAGCAGCCAAGCTATGAGGATGCCTTATTGTGTAGAGTTCAGAAGTGTACATTAAACTCCTCCCTTCAAAGCAACGCAGAAGGAAAGTTGCCATTCCCACTCCAGGAGTCAGGAGCAAAGGGGAGAGAAATAAGCAACGAGGTTGCTGTTTGACATAGTTTTCTGTCACAATGCTTATGATTAACCAAGTGAAGAAACAGAACGACGGGGAGCAGAGAGCTTGCACAGATACCAGAGCCAGAGGGAATGACAACAGAAGTGCCCAGGGCTTCGGGTGGTCTTGTTTTACAAAGCCAGATTAATTAACCAGACACTAAAGGACATCTCTTTTAGAAAATGAAACACGTTAGAAACCAAAATGCCTCAGAGAGTGAGCAGCTAGGGAGCTATAAGTAAATTACTAAGTACAAAATGAAGCAGCCTGCAGAGGAAATGAGTAATTAAAAAACTCTCCCCTGAGCGACAGGCTGGCGAGAGAGGGATAACTGCAGGACCCTGGTGCTGGAGGTAAACAGTGCCTAAGCCAGAACGTGACAGATGAAAACAGATGTTTTATACAAACAACAACCCCTCAATCTCCTGTCTTTACAGTGCACTCGGAGATGGCATTAGGCACAGTCAGTCTGGAACAACCTGAGGAGATGCACACAGGAATTACATCACCCACCACTATCACGCTGCTGCCCCGGGGTGAAGCACTGCAGTCACTGGACAGTACTCAGCAACTATAAACAATAGTTTCAGAGGAAGAAATAGAATAACATTAACCTCATTCTTCTTTCTGCAAGAGAATTAACAGAGCACAGACCCTGGTGGCACAGCAAACCTTTCTGCACCCCTCTCCCCTTCCATAGGGAAGCAAAGTCACCCTTGGGCACCTGCTGTCCTGGTGAGCAGCATCATTCCCAGCCTGGCCTGACTCCTTTTCTTCTGCTGCTCCAAAGAGGCACCAAGAACAATACCTAACTTGCCAACCCTTAAGTAAGCAATTCTGGCAAAGTGGTTTCCAACTTTTTCCGCTAGATCTCTTCCAAAGAAGACAAGCCTTGGGTGTAGCAAGTTTTAGCCCACTGAGAGTCCTTCCTTCTTCTCTGTCTTTCTGAAACCCTTAAGAGCCACCAGTTGAACATTAGTCTGTCTGCAGGCAAGCATGGAGGACGATGACCATGGGGGACACCCTGCAGCGTGGGCTTACGCTTCTTCACACTTTTCCCCGAGACACGGCTCTCTCAGAGGGAGCAGCCCCAGTCCCAACGAACATCATTCTCTTTCTCAGCCACAGATGATGGCAGCAAGGCAGGGAAGGTGAGGACATCCCAAGCTGATGCTCAGAACCTCATCAAGCAGATGTCCCTCAACAGCACCTTAAGCCCTCCACCAGGTGAGTGTTCCTCACCCACTGTAACCAACTTCAAGCTGGGACCTTCATTGCTCCCTAAGGCTCTCTGTGAGAAGAGGGATGCCCTCAAGCCCTCTACCTTATTCAGAGACCGACCCTCACTATCCCCTGAGACCCCTGGTGGGCAGGGGGACCCTTGACCCCTGTTTCCTTCATCAGCTGTGGCCCTTCACTATCACCTCAGGCCCTTCTCCCGGCAGACACACATCCCCTGCACGGGACACGGGCAGCTCACCGCCTGCTCCGTGGGTCGAGGGACCCCTCCCCGTCCCCTCCTCGAAGGAGCCCCCGCTCCGCCCAGCCCCGTATCCCCTCCCCGGGACCGAGGGTCCCTCTCCGCCCGTCGGGACCGTTCCTGCCCTGCGGAGCGGGCCCGGCCCCGCCGCCCCCGGCCCCCGGCACTCACTGCGGCGGGAGCTGCAGGGCCGGGCCGCCGCGGCGCTGGAAGGCGCCGTCCACGAAGACGCCGTTCTTGCCGAGGCAGCGCAGGTAGAAGTGCGGCTCCTGGAAGCTGAGCTGCAGGTGCCGCCGCGAGATGAAGCTGGAGTGCCCCATGTTGACGTCCACCGAGCCCTGCGAGGAGTTGCGGCCTATGGTGACGGCCGGCTGCCGCATGAGGAACTCGAACTCGCGGCCCTGCAGCCGCGCCAGCACCGGCCCGGTGCAGGCGGCGGGCGGCGCGGCCGGGGGCGGCGGCCCGGGAGGGGGCGCGGCGGCGGGGCTGCAGGGCGCCGAGCGCAGCGCCAGCAGAGCCCGCGCCCCGCTACTGTCCTCCCCGACTTCGGCCATGTTCCCCGGCAGCGAGCGAGCCAGCGTGCCGGCCTCCGGGGCGGGGCCGGCGGGGCGGGGATGGCGGGGACGCGGGGCGGGGCGGGAGCCGCGCCGGCCGCCGCCTCCCCCGGCAGCTCCGCCGGGCGCGGCCGCCCCGCCGCGGTCCGGGGCGCGGGGCGGGGGCGGCAACGGCGGGCGCGCGGCGCCGCCTGCGGGCCAGGGCGGGCAGCGCGGCTCGGGCAGGTGTGAGGGAGCGGCCCCGGCGCGGCGCTCCCGGCGGTTTAACCGCTCCGGGCCGGCCCCGGCACCGCCGCACAAGCACCCCCGAGCCGCGGGGCTGCCCCCGCCGCACCGCAGTGCGCTCCGGGCTTTCTGCGGGCAGGGGCAGCCGGTCCGTGCCGCGGCACGGTTCTGGTCACTGACATGGGCTCGCTTCAGCGGCCTCGTGCGGCCTCTCCATGGAATCATAGAATGGTTTGGGTTGGAGGGAGTTTAAAGATCACCTCGTTCCTGCCCATGCCATGGCAGGGACACCTTCCACTACCCAAGGTTGCTCCAAGCCCTGTCCGACCTGGCCTTGAACACTTCCAGGGATGGGGCAGCCACAGCTTCTCTGGGTACTCTGTGCCAGTGCCTCACCTCCCACATAGGGAAGAATTTCTTCCCAGTATTTCACATAAATTTCCACTTTTTCAATTTGTACCCATTACTCCTTGTCCTATCACTGCAGTTCCTACTAGAGATGCTCTCTCCAAACCAGCTCATAAACAACTCCCTGTGCTGGAGAGATGCCCCAAGCCCAAACCAACCTGCTCCAGGTGTTCTGTGGGGCAGGGGCACATTCATCCTCTGGCTGGGGTCTGGTCTCTGACATGAGCTGCCTTCAGTGGCCTTCTGCTGCCTCTCTATGGAATGAATCATGGCTTGGAAGAGACACTAAAACTCATCTGGTTCCACACCCCTGCTGTGGGTAAGGACACCTTCCACTAGACCAGGTTGCTTCTAGCCCCATCCAACCTGGCCTCAAACACTTCCTTAATAACCCTGGACTGTTTGCTGAGGCTTGCTGAAGGGGGAGATTCATCCTACATCCACAAAGGTGTGAGGTTTAAAACACCTTAATGCCCTTTTGTAGAGTTTATATATATATAAAAATATATACACTCATATATGAATGTATATTATCATATAGTGATTTTATATATTTTATACTCATACAGTTTTTCTTTATAATGGACTGTGTAGGTTGTTTAGCTTGCACTACAGCATTTCTTCAAATTACTTTTTATATTTCTGTATGATTATGTTTTATATTTCTATCTATATTTATATTAATGATAAAGGTCATATCCTGTGCCACAACAGCATATATTTGGCTCATGTACAGTCTGTGCTATACATCCATATATACATATATCCAGATTAAACAAAAAATATTTCTGTATAGGTGAGCTGGTGATACTTTGCAGAATCCTGAATAGTTAAGTAATCAGAAAATACAATGAATTTGAGAATCTGGGAGAGGGAGCAGCTGTAGGTTTGTATTGCTTCAGCTTGTGTGGGGAATGTGTCAGCTCATAGCAAGACTGCTCAACAGTTTCAAGGAGATGGGGAAAAAAATCCCATAACTGGTCAAAAGTGCAGAGCAAATTTCAGCAATGAAAACTGTAATTAAACGAGCTGGAATTGGTCCAGGACCACAAGGTTAACATCCCTATTCCTGGAACATCTTCCCTGAGATGTTTAATGACTGCTGAGCAGCCGGGACCTGCGTTAGACATCTCACCCGAGACACCGTCTTCAGTGAGTGCTCTTTGCCTCTGCAGTTCAATACCAAGTGAGGGGAAGAGAGAAAAGCACAAAACACCAATGCCACTTCCTCTGCACCAGTGTCAGCTCTGCAGAGAGACTCAGCCAAGCTGGGCACAGCAAAGGGCTGCAGGAGAGGGAGGAAAAGCTTCCAGAGGGGGCTCGGGGAGGAGGGAGGTGGTCTGAGCTGAGATCTGAGCTCCTCTCCTGCCCCAAACTGCTCAGCACCAGCAAATGCTTGTGGCCAGAAAGCAAAATATGGCCATCAGGTAGAGCCAGAGCCACATGCTGCCTGACAAGAGCTGGCTCAGGCTTTTACTCCATCCACCCCTGGATGAGTGTGCTGTTACCTGAGCTTAAAAATGGACCCAGGCTGGTGGGCAGGTGAGTGGCAGCAAGCAGGGTGAGACCTTGTATCAGAGCAGCCTGACCTGCCAAAAAAAAAAATTAAAATAGAAAGCAGTGCCAGAGATTTTAGTTCATGTCTAAAGCTTTTCTAAATCCCAAATTTGACCAGGAGGATCCTGAAAGGACCAGGAATAGGGTGAGGCTGTTGCCAGATGTTGTCAGTAACTGTTTCTAGGGCTGCCTGAGAAAACACATTGTGGGCAGGCTGGGTCAGGGCAGGAGCCAACCCCCCATGGGCAGGAGCAGGGCTCTGGTTCCAAACACAGGAGGTGCAGGGAAGCCCTGTGTGGCCCTCTGATGTGGGGCCAAGAGACATGTCACTGCAGGGCTGGGTCTTGTTACTGCTCCCACATTCCATACAGGCTATGGAATTCTGCAGCTCCAGTTAGGGAATAACCCGAGGGCTGACACGTGAGGCTGGCTGGGAAGATCCTTGCCCTGCTCAAAGGCCCCCCAGCTGCTCAGGACAGAGCTGATGCAGCATTGCTGCTCCAGGCTGTGGAGCTGGTGATGTCAGTGGGCATGTCCACATGTGTCATGGTCATCTGCAGCCACTGGGACACTCCAGCCATACCAACTGATGAGATTTTTCTAACAAGTCTTTTCCTTTCTACTTGGAAATTTCTTCTGAGTAGTGGCATTTGCTGCTTAAGCCAGCACCACTGCTGAGATAAATCCCAGCTTCATGCACAATGTGATCAATTGGTGTACAGAAACAGGATTCCTCTGAGCTGCCTGGTGGGTTGTGCTTAGCACCGTGTCTCAGCAGCCCCGTCTGCCTGCGGCATCCTTTCCCTCAGCTTCTAACAGAGGGCTCTGCTGGCAGCCTGCAACGCTCTGCTCAGCTCTAATCTGCCCTGCAACAGCATCAAACCAAGGGCCCTTCAGCCACAGCAATGCCTTGTGCTCCTCCTGTCAGCTAATCCTGCTTAAAGTCACGCTGGCTGCCCCGGTGTAAATGCCTGATGTAAACGCACTCAAGATTGTTTGAATTGAGTTTATCTCGTCCTGCATGGCTGGACTTTATAGTTGTTCCTTTTCCTCTGCAGGGTTTTAGATGGATGTGTCAGCAGATGTGGCCAAATTTCTTAACTCTATGAGTTGCCTACCGAAGTATTCGGATGGGCAGGAGATGCCTGCCAAGTTTTAAGAGGTGTAGGGAGTTGAGCACAGTCCTTGTGCCACCTGAGATGGGGATGTGGGAGTGGCACCTTGGCCGTCCCTGGCCATCAAACTCTCCTGCTCCAGCCCGAACTGTGCTCAGGCACTACCATGGTGTGACAGCAACACAAGCACATGCAGAAATAATCCCTCCTGGAACTTTACAGAGATGCCTTTAGCCATTTTGAGATGCTGCCCTGCCTCACCTCTCTGTGCAACAGGACAACCTGAACTGGGAGGAGAAATCAAACATTCAAACAAAGCAGCTGTGAGAACAGAAAATAGCTGTGATGGAGTCAGGGTTACTCAGAGAGTGGTGTGAAACCCAAATGTCCTTTGTCAAATATTTGTTTGGCTGTGTGTCATTGCTGACTGTCTCAATACAGCAAGAATCTGCTTCATGCTATCAGCTGTGGGCAAATGAATGTAATGGGTTGTTATGGTCACCCAGATACCACTGCATTGGGCAAACACAAATCTTGCAAAAACAGTGATAAAAGGGCACGTTCCTGCTTTTATCTGCTGGATGGTGTCTGCTTAGAAACACTGAGTTTCTACAAGTGAAATGCTGCATTTCTATAGCATTTCACATGGCTCTTGCTCACTGTTCCAATTCGTGAGACTCAATACATATTTATCAAGCCCCAATTCAGCAAGGAATCTGCCCAGCTTCAGCACTGCAGGAAATCTGTTCTACCCTCAGACCAAAGCATCATTGAAAAGCAGCTTGGACAGAAAGGAATGATGAGAGCTGCACAGCTTGATGTATTTACCTAGCAGCCAGACAATACATTGATGCTCACAATGAAAGGCAGCCTAATGTGCACAGCCCTGACCTGGGAAGGAGGAGGAGAAGAGTGAAGGAAAGCAATTACTCTAAGGAAAAGAGAGTCTGCTGTCTCTGTGCCAGCCCAGTCCAGCATTTCTCCTGAGCATGGTGCCAATCTCATGGGGTTAATGGTGATCAGGCTTCCACTGATGTAAGTGTGCATCATTAGCAAGCAAGCAGAGAATTCAGCACCTGCATTTCACAAACACTTTGATAAAATACAAAAGAAGAGGGCAGTGTTCACTCAAATTCCAGCCAATCTCTCCGCAGCACTTTTTCCTTTCCCTTCTCTCAGCCATCAAGTAGGTTTTAAACGCTGTTGTGGTTTTTGTCCAAACTGATTTGAAGTGTAAGTGATGAGCAATGTGCCCTGGATCTGTGGAGATACTTTCCCCTGCACACCTGAGCTCAGGAGCAGCTCACTTCTCTTTCCAGCTGGGTGGGTTTTAATTCTGCTTTGTGTCTCAGGGAAATCACTGTGATGTGACACAGGAACAAAAAGGGGTTTGCACTTATACATGTCTGGTAGGACTTTCTTCTTAACCAAGCAGCTGCAAGAAGTTAAATAAAATTCATTGTTTTGAAATATATTCAGGCACATCACAGTATCTGTCTCACACACACACACACTTGCATGGTGTCTAACTCAGCCTCCCATGGGATTTCTACCTGTTTTCTCAATTCTGTTGGAGCATCTGTGCTTTTAACTGGATCTTTATGTCTCTTGGTGATGACCCTTGTGCCTGATCTGGGACAGCCATAAGAATGTCCCTGCCTGCCAAAACTGCATCCATGGCATGGCTGTCTGACT